TGGTAGGCCCCATTTTAAATCACAGATCCGTCTTACACTTGCTGTGTGTCACTAAGCAAGAAGTTTAGCCTCTCTGAGTCTTAGGTGTTATCCCTATTTTAGAACCGAGGAACACTATCTCGGATCATCCCTTGTGCTGGATACTAGTCACCCCAATGAGATGATCAGAACACAAAGGATGGTACTAGGATTGTGAGAGGTCCTGTGTGGCCGAAGGCCCAGCCCCAGCTACTTGTGTGTTATGGTGCCAACTGCCGTGGTAGGCAAGTGCCAAGGACCCCCAGACGGACTAATTCACCTCACGCCTCACTGGTCTAGGGTGAGGGAGGTGCTGCCACCAGTCCATCCTTGACCTGATGCGCAGCCTCATATTTCCCTCTTCCATTTAAAATCCCATCCCTCCACTGCCAAGACCAAGCTCTGATGCCCCTTCAGTCCTGCCGTCCTCCACCCCTACACTTGGCCTCCTTAGCCCTGGCTCCTGCCTGAGCATCTGCGATTCTCTTTTGGTCCTCACCAGCACCACCTCCCTCTGTGACCTAGTGGTCCTGTCTTTGTGGCTTGGCACCTTGTGTATGTCCCAATGACCACACCTTGGTTTTTGAAAAATGACCAAGTTCCTTTGACTCTTTGGAAATTTAGTAAAGAGTTACATGAGGTATGAATTCAAATTGCCAAAAAGTTAGCAATGATGAAGAGTTTGGGGTTGAGCAGCATGCACCATTAGAGTCCTGGGGAGTGAGCAGACCCTGGGACAGAGGTCTGACCCGGCAGCCTGGGCCTTACATCAAAATGGCAGCTTGGGGGACTTAAGAAGAAAATAACCCCTCTTCCAGATTAAACACGTAAACCTCAGGTCGTGAGGTGACCGCAAGGGTCAGTACATTGTCAAAGGAAACTTCTAGAAGCCTAAAATTACTTCCAGGACATGGACCTGCTCCATCTTTCTAGAAAGGCCCAGGGCTGCGGGGACCAGCTGGCGGACCACCTGCAAGCTTCGCCATGCTCTCTGCCCTGGGAAGAGGTGAGTCTGGGTCTTCTCTCCTCCTAACCTGGACCAGCTTCAGCCTGGAGGAGGGCTTTGCTCTTGTGTGGACCAAGCCCTTGCAGCAGCACCAGTCTGGGACTCGAAACAGGACTGTAGTGTCAGAAGGAGCTCCTCTGGTCCCACACCACGCCCTCTCCACTCGCCCTGGCCCTGTGTTCCCTGCTGCCTCCCGGGGTGCCAGCTACTTCTGGGAGGCCTGACTCTTTGGTATCCTGGTCGGCTCTGCAGCAGGGCCCTGCTAAGGCTTGAGGTTTGCCATGTTGAAGTTGGTCTGCCGCCATCAAGAGGTGGGACCTTTAAGAGACAGTGGTCATGCATGCCCTTGGACTTGCCAGGCTCTAGAACCTAGAGCCAAGGAAACCTCTGCCCTTTAAATGGCCCGGTCTCTGGTATTATGTAATAGCAACAGAAAAAACAGAAGATGGTACTTTCTTCCCTCGTTTTCCTCCCTGCCCTGGGCCTCTCATCTGTAGAGGTCAGAAAGTGGAGCACAGCCTCTTGCCACCAACCAGGCCTTGGGCACATGGCCCAGGGCACAGCTCTGAGCATACCTCCCCCAGGGCTGGCGGACAAGCAGCAGACCCTGTGTCTTGGCCCTGGCCGCTGGGCCCCTCTCTTCCCTCAAAAGATTTTTAACTTCTTCTCTTGAAAGTGTCACCTGTGGCTACCTGGCTGGCTTGGCCCTGGCAACCCTGGGGCCCCAGATTATCAAAGGGCAGAACCCATGTGCACGTTCGCGGGTGAGAGCATGACTTGGGTGCTCTTTTTGGTATTTTCTAGAATAATGTTTTCTCTGACAAAATTCAGTCTGTCATTTGAAATCTGCGATGAAGAGTCTGTTTTTCTGAGAATTGATGAGCTTTCCAGGCTAGAGGTATTCAGAAACTCTTGGAGTTCCCACTATATACCAATGTCCCTTAAAATTTATAGGTTTTTGTTATTGTTGTTTTTGTTGAAAACGTATTTCAGACAAAATTAACAGTAACTCCTTACAGACATCAGAAACCTGGTCCATATTCAAATTTCCCTATTGTTCTCTAAACGCATGTTCAAATCCTGGTTTGTTCAAACTAGGATTTTTATTTATTTAAGTTGTAGATGGACACAATACCTTTATTTTTTTATTTGTTTTTTATCTTTATGTGGTGCTGGGGATCGAAGCCAGTGCCTCGCACATGCTAGGCAAGCGCTCTGCCACTGAGCTGCCACCCTGACCCTCAAACTAGGATTTAATCAAGGTCTGGCTGTTGTGTGTAGTTATTGTGTTTCTTGAATTTCCTTAGATCCAGCTCCGTTTGCTGTCTCTATTTCAGATAATAGCTAGAAAAGTTTTCCCTATTCTATTATTTTTAATGGTTTTGATTTTCACATTTGAATCTCTATTTCCTTGTCTGTTATGAGGCACTGATTCAATTTTATATTTTCCCCAGTGGCTCTCTGGTTGTTCCAAACCATCAAGAAGTTTGCCCGTGTCTGTTAGTTACAGGTGCAGCACTTCCCATTGATCGCAGGGTGACTGTCATGGTTACCTTTGGTCTTGGGGACTGTGGAGGGGTTGTGTTGGTTTGTCACCCGCTCTCAGCCCACTGCCGCAGTTTCAGCTGGAGAGGCTCTGAGGGCATTGTAATATTGGCAGATGTTCTGGTTGGGATAAGAGGTGTCCCCCAAGTCTCCTGTGTGAACTCGGGGATGTTTGGAGAAGTGGTTGGAGTGCGAGGATGGTAACCCAGTCCTAGTCTGAATGGACTGACTGGTGGGAAATCGAGGCAGAAGGGTGCACTCTGGAAGGGCGCTTCTGCCCTAGCCCCCTCCCTATCTCTCTTTGCTTCCTGGACACCATGTGCAAAGCAGCCTTCCGCCACCTTGATGTTCTGCCTCTCCTTGGGCCCAGAACCACAGACTCAGGCACCATGGACTGAACCTCTGAAACATGAGCCCAAAACCACTTTTCCTCCTCTAAGTTACTGCGGTCAGGTGTTTGGTCCCAGTGATGGAGAGGTGACTAACACAGCAAGCTGCTGTTCCAGTTCCACCACTCCTCTCTCCAGGGTTTTCTTGGTGCCTTGCTTGTCCCTCCGCCCCCGGCCATATAAATTTTAAAATAAATACACCTAATTTAAGAAGAAAATTCTGTAAATTATAAATTGAGTTTGGAAAACTGACTTTTGATCTCAAGTCAGCTTATCCATGAATAGGACATGTCTTTTCATTTATTGAATCCACTTTTGTATCCTTCAGGATTGTTTTGAAGTTTTTCTTATAAAAGTTTTACACAGTTCTTGCCAAGTTCAGGCTGAGGTATTTTTGTTCTGTTTTGAATGGCTTTTTCTCTTCTAATTGCCTGGCATATGAATGTCTGAAGGTTTTTCAACACTGGGGTTTGAACCCTGCGGTGCTCTGCCACTGAGCTGCATCCCAGCCCTTTATAATGTTCTATTTTGAGATGGGGGGTCTCGATAAGTTGCCCAGGTTGGCCTTGAACTTGCAATTCTCCTGCCTCAGCCTCCTGGGTTGCTGGGATCACAGGCATGCACCACTATGCCAGGCTACAGCTATTGATTTTTATGTTATTCCACATCTTACTAAATTCTCATTGGTTTTAGTTGTTTGTCTATGGAGTCTTTTTGCATTTTTCAGGTGTGCAATGATATTATCTGCAAATAGTGGTATTTTATATTTTCATTGCAACACCGGACGTTTGTTGCTCTTGCTTATCTAGTTATATTGGCTAATCATCCCGATGCACGGTGAAGTGGTAGAGGCATAGTGGGTGTCCTCACTCCTGACTTTAGTGGGAATGTGTGCTATTGAAACATAATTAATATTGCGATATATTTGGTCTCTGTCTTCAGCTCCTGGCATGGAGCTCCTAAGACCTTTGGAACTTTGAGCAAGGGGGTGGGAGGAGTATCCCTTGTAATTTCCCACAGGCTCCTTTCCAGCCAATCCAAGTATGGGGTAGTGAGAATGGGGCTGGTTGTCGGGGGGACCAACCCATGATGGGAGGGCGTGAACTTCCTGCCCCTCCGCCTGCGGGAGGAGCAAGGTTGAATCCCACAGGCCAGTGACTCCATCCCCCGCCTGTGTAATACAGCTCCATGAAAACCCTACATGACGAGGCTTGGGGACTTCTGGGTGGGAGAGGCTCTGCACGCCAGGAGGACAGTGTACCCCCAAGCCACAGCGATGGAAACTCCTGAGCGTGGGGCCTCACCACAAGCCCCTCTTCATCTGGCCACTCCTTTGTACTCTTGGTAACTGTTCTTTGGGACAACCGGTTACTGTATGTGAAGTGTTTTCCCGAGTTCTCTTCTACCAAATTACCAAGCCTGAGGGGAAGGTCCAGGAGCCTGACATGGAGGTGGTCAGTGGGAGGACGGAAGGGCCAGGGTCTGTGTTTGGCTGGGAAGTTGGAGACCCTCTTTTGGGCTGTGGAGCTGGGTGCTCACTGCAGGCAGACATGTCAGAGGGAAGCTGAATTACAGGGCCATGGGCATCAGAGGCCTCCAGGTCCTGAAGGACAGCTTGGGCCACGTCACCGTCTGGACCCAGATTCCACCTCCCCAAGTGAATGCAGGTGCGCTGCTCAGCTCCTGGCCTCTGGGACTGTGACACCCCAATACTGAGAGCAAGGGATGCTCGGGCCAGCCGTCTTCTGGTGTTCGCACGAGGGCTCTGTCCTCCGCCTTTGGCCTTAGCCCTCCTCGTGGGGGGTGCGTTGCATCAACACCCTCTAGCTGGGTGTCACACTTTGATCCAGTCGTTTTCTGCATCACCTCTGTATTTTAAGTGGGGCGATATGTCTTGTCGCATGGCGGGATGTTTTGGGGTGTACCGTCAGGTGTGGTTAGAGCTGGCCAACGGGCATAGGCACTGCCTGGTGTTTTCGTGGAGAGGCACAGGGCAGCCACCCCACCGGGCTGCAGGATCAGCTCCTTGGCCTGCTCCTCCTGTCCAGCTGTGCAGGAATTTCCTGTCCAGGACCATCATCAGCCAGCAGGGCTGGCCGCCAGCATCGCACCCCCCTCCTTGAGCTCAGCCCTGCTGATCCCGAGGTGAGTGAGACCAGGCGGTGCTTGTCCTCTGGGACCACTGAGCCCTGTCCCCAGCCCTTCTTTGTGTTTTATTTAGAGACAGGATCTGAGCTGCTTCGGGCCTCACTAATAGAGTGAAGGGAAACAAACCCCTTTCCTTCCTCCTTCCTCCATGTAAACGACAGGACTCCCTTCCTTTGAAGGTGGTGAGTATCCCCCTGTGCACACAGGCACATTCTCGGTGCCCTTCATCGCTCGCCGGACAGTGGGTTGATTCCATGTCTTGGCAGCTCTCTCCGCCTCCGGTGCCTGTCCCTGGGATGCGGCCATTCTAAGGAGGGCAGGGAATAGCTGACTCTGGTTTTGATTTGGATTTATTTCTCTGATGATTAGTGGGGGTGAGCATTTTTCCAGTCGACCTGTTGGCCATTTGTATGTCTTTTGAAAAAATATCTGTTCGGGTATTTTGCTCATTTCTAAATTGGGCGATTTGGTTTTGTGCTATGTAGTTGTTTGAAAGTGTTTTCTATTTAATCGGATCTTTTATCCATTTAGATTTGATATAATACTGATCTATTTGGAACCCAAATCCCGCTCTCTCTCAATATTTCTATGCACTTTTTCTTCTTGTCTTTGGACTGGTTAGATATTTTCAGTTGTTTCCTAGGCCCTCTATTAGTCTGGAGACCGTACAACACCCTGCTCTTCTTTTAGTGGTTACTATGCAGATTACAAAGCATGGCATGCATTTATTAAACATTGATGTCATTTAGCACTTGACCCTCTGCCTAGACGATGCAAGGATCTTAGGACATTAAACTGTGAACACTGCTCAACTTATGTGCTGCTATGATCATATTGTAATTCTGTATGTTTTAGGTCACAATAGGTTGTTGTTGATTTTAGATAATCACTAGTTTGGGGACTAACCTATATTACAATTTATCCTTTTTTCTTACTCATTTTCCCTGCACCTCTGAGGTCTCATTGAGGATTATTTTTATTTTGTTTTAGGAACACTTTTCGGGTTTTCCTTCCTTCCTTCCTCCCTCCTCCCTCCCTTCCTTCTTTTCTTCCTTCCATACCGGGGATTGAACCCAGGGGCACTCCACCACTGAGCCCCATCTCCAGCCCTTTTTGTATTTTATTTAGAGACAGGGTCTCTCGGAGTTGCTTAGGGCCTCACTAAATTGCTGAGGCTGGTTTTGAACTCACGATCCTCCTGCCTTAGCCTCCCGAGCTGCTGGGATAACAGGCGTGCACTACCACACCCAGCTTGGCCAGTCATTTTATATAGTTTCCCTCAGGTTTTTTCTTTTCTGGTGCTTTCTAGTAATTACGCTCAGGTTATACATTTTTGGCTAGAATACTGAGAAGTGATGCGTCTTCGTTTAATCTAACTGCCTACTCTCTGGCCAGATGGTCAAGGGTCAGCTGCATTCATAGAACAAGCCCTCCAAGTAGCCAGCTGGCCTTGACGGACACGTTTACACATACACTTCCGTCGGTTTTGATGTATGTGGCGCCTGTGTAGCCACCACCAGGATCAGGAGAACACAGTGCCCTCTCCCCTGAGACCCTGTTCTTGCCAGTGGACACCCTTTCTCTGTCCCCTTCCCGGCAGCCGCAGATCACCAGTTTTAATTGGTTAAAGACATCTTAAAATTTACTTGGGAGAATCGATGCTTGAGAACAGCCAAGGAAAGCACAAGTGTGACGGGCCAGGGGGGCGCCGGTGTCTGTGTCGGATGTCACTCTGCGGGGCCCAGCTCCAGTCGTGTGACACAGTGCCAATCAGAGGCAGGCAGCCCGCTGTCCCAGGGGAGCCTAGGACAAGCAGGACTGCGGTTCTGTTCAGCGCCCAGCCTCCTGGTGGGGCTGACGGTGGGAATGCAGTGAGGCTCGATTCCAGGTTCCAAGGTTCCCGAGCAGAAGGGGACGCGGGGATCAGGAATGGCCTTCCTGGCCGAGGAACTGCATGAACAAAGGTGGGGAGACGTGAATGGTGGGGCCTGTGTGTGGCCCCCCAGAACCAGAGAAAATGCCAGGTTACGTGGCCCAGGATGTGGGTGCCGATCCTCGCCTTGAGATGTGGACGCGATCCTGCAGAGGGGTCCTTATCAGTGCCCGAGGGAGGCAGAGGAAGGAGACCAGAGAGATGGCGGCCTGAGCAGGACTGGGCCCAATGAGGCTGGCTTGGAAGACAGAGGGGAGGCCAAGAGCCAAGGAGTTGGAGAAGCTTCTAGAAGCTGGAAGGGACAAAGAAATGGGTTCTCCCTTAGAGCCTCCAGAAGAAAACCCACTTGATTGGAGTGTGGGTTTCATTAGGGACTTCTTCAGATGGTAACCGACATGTCAAGCCACAGCATGTGCTACTAGGGCAGCCACAGAAAACCAGTGTCAACACCAAGTGATCACTGAACATCAGACCCTGGGGAACGTGGGGGGTGTGTGAGTGTGGAGGCAGAGAGGGGACCAGGGACCAGATCATGGGGTCCTTGAGTGTCACTGTGGTCCTTGAATTGACTCTGTGGGCGGAGCTGTGGCTCCTGCTGGGGGCCCCTTGCTGGCAGGAGGGTTTAGGGCAGAGAGCACACCTGTTCTTAGGTACCCTGCGGTGTCCACCCTGATTAATTTCTTTGTGCAGATTTTTTGTTGCAGACGGTGACACACAAAACTCGAGGGTGTTTGGTGAAGCACTTAGCTCAGTGGAGTGCCCAGCACTTCTGGGCCTGCTGTTCTGCACCAGTGGTGTCCTCAGACTGCGGTGGGCTTTGGGTGATGGCATGTTACCTATAAGCAAGTGGCTACTGTTTTTTTTTTTTTTTTTTAACCTTTATTTTGTTCATTTATTTATGTGTGGTGCTGAGAATGACCCCCAGTGCCCCACACCTGCTGGACAAGTGCTCTGCCACGGAGCCCCAGCCCCTGCCCCGAGGTGCTGTGTTTTTGTTTGTTCCTGTGGCTGGGGATGGTCTCCAGGGCCCTGCTCCTGCCGCTGGGCCACACCCCAGCGCGAGGCTCTATTTTTACCCTGGGTGGAATTCTCTCTGCGTTCCTGCAGTGTGGATTGGAGTTCCACGGCCACCAAGGCCCCCCCAGGTGACCCCAGGGAGCAGCTGCACAGGGACAGTTGGCACTGGTGAAGGTTCTGGAGCAGGTGGCTGGGGAACGGGAGTCCATGCTGCCTGACCTGCCGATCTTCTTTTCTGACCAGAGACGGAGAAAGCGTGGAAAAGACAGTAGCTGGGCTTCTGTGTTCCCACCCGTGGTCTGTTGGGTGCTCCGGGGTCTGGCTGGCCCACGTGTTATGGGGGCTGTCTGTGTTTTGTTCTGTTTTCCAGGGGACCTGGGAAGAGGGGTGGGAAACAGAGAGGCAAGGTCAAGTCCCCACGGAAGATTTCCAGGCCAGGATCCAAACTGCCCCCCGGTTCTGGAACTCTAGGAAACCCCTGGAACACAGGCTGGGATGTGGGCATTTGGGTCCTACAGTCAGAGAGACGTCTGGATGGACAACCAGACGGGGGGAGAAGCCTTCATGTCTGTGCCGTTTGAGTAAACAAAAACAAAGCCTGCTCTGCGAGGATGGGTCGGAGGGCAGTGGGTACCAGCGCCAGCTGTGCCCGTGGCCTGACGCTGCCTGGGCTGTGGCCCGCAGGCAGGGGTGTCTGCAAGGCCTTGCCCCTGAGTCCTCTTACCTGCCGCTTCCTCTGCTGGAAACCTGGTCCTCCTCACCTTTCCTCCCGCGGATCAGGCTGTTGGAGAACCTGGACCCTTCTCTGGAAGACTGTGGGGCTCGGCCTTCGGTTCTCTGCAGTCCGTTCACCTTTGGAGGGAGCGTCCTTACTGTGGCTCCGTGGTTGGGTGGCTGGTGACACCTGTGAGGAACTGAGCTCATCAGAACTGGCCTTTTATTGCTTCTCGACTTGAAGGTGTTAGTCGTTTATGGTTTCTGCATAATAATCCTGTTGATCACAGAGAACGATTATTGAGTGCCCACCACCCTCTGTCCTGGAGTCGGACATAATCCCCCACAGTCCGATGGGCCATTAATTCACAAGATCTTTGCAGGAAGGATAAGAAACTGCTCCATGGCATAAATGGACCCATGGATTTGAAGTCTGGGTTCATTTTCAATGTAAAAAAATGAGTGTGCTTTTTAGGATGGAGGGAGTAAATCATGTGTAAGGAGGGGCAAAAGCATCATCAGGAGGCAGGCAACAAGCCATAAGCCAGGCTCGGTGGCGCCTGCCTATGATGCCGGCGACTGGGAGGCTGAGTCGGGAGGATGGCAAGTTCTCAAGTTTGCAGGCCTGAGCAGTTAGCAGGACCCTGTCTGGGTGGAGGTGCCGCTCGGCGCTTGCCTCACACGTGAGAGGTTGGATCCCCAGAACCGCAAACAGGATGAAACAAAAGAACCAAAAGAAAGCAAAGCAGAGGACCAAGGGACACAGAGTTCTAAGTGCCTGGAACCCCGCTTTGATGACACTTGTCATAAGACTCATGGGTCACAAATGGGGTGCTTTGGAACTTCCTGCAGGCACCGGAGGGTCTTGCAGACGTCTCAGGTTCCCTGGGGCACAGCCAGGCTCTGGAAGCCCACCGCTCCCGGGGGGTGCTGGGGTTAGGGCCAGGTGCCTGGCCAGCAGTCCCACAGCGGCTCCGTGCCAGCTGCCCAGGCTTCTCTCCGCCTCCCTGTGCCACCCGGAGCGGGTTCCTCCTTCATGGTCTGGCCCAGGCCCCTTAGCATCCA